TGCTAACATACTTCTTTCTCTTTTTTTTTACTTGTTTGCAGGAGATAGACAGCAAGTTCTGTCTAATCCAGGACGTTTGGACCGTGAAGGGGAATCTCCATGGATTTATCGGTGCCTCTGTGTCCTACATCCAGAGCGACTGGACTTATGTAGTGCGACACTTAACTTTCAAACTAGTTGCATTGCATCATAAGGGTCATCTACTTGCAGAGCCCTTGGTGACTGTCTTGAAAAAGAACGATTTATATAAAAAGATGAGTTTGAATTTGCTTTAATTTATCATTCTTTTTCTCATATTTGATCCATTCCATTTGCTGACACGCTTTTGGATTTTACATGCTTGCCGGTGTGTCTGATTCAGGAAGCAATAATATCACACTTGGCCGCGAGATGCAACAGCAGCTCCAGGACGAGGGTCTGAAAACCGGGTTCAAATTTCAATGGAAACACTGTAAACATCATTCAACTTCCCCAATTTGGCAGAGGAAAATGATTAATAGTACAGTTTTTCATAAAAGAATCTAATACTGCACACCTGGGCCATTTCACCCACACTACATATGTGCAGCAAGCTAAGTCAATAGTTGTCTATCATGTACATACAGGTCTGCTCAGTTTTTTGCCCATCAGAATAAATAAATCACATGTTATACCACATGTAACTTTTTCGACTTTGAAATTTTTTTCCCAAAAATTCACTACATATAATTCTGTAGCTGCTCAGGCAATATTGTTGAAGCTATGTCTTAGTAACAGAAAGTGTGTTACATGCAGTTGAGTTGATGAGATCACACCAAAACATTGAGTCAGTGTATGTAGTCAATCTTTTGGAAGCTTTTTTCAATCTGAACGAAGTTACAGCATGTATTACATATGAATAACTTGTCCTGATGAGCAGATAACTGAGCAGAACTGTATGTACATGATAACCACATATTCACTGAGCCTGCTACACATATGTAGTGTGGGTGTTATGGCTCAGGTGTGGAGTGATAGACCATTTTATGACAAATCATACTCCCAATCATTTTTCCCTGCCCACTTGGGGAACCCGAATAATGTCTGCAGTGAAATCAAAGTCTCAGTCAGTACGATGCTTTTGTCATAAGATGGGGTTGATTGTAAAAGCTGGGCTAGACGCGCTTGGCATGAAGCCGCTGCAAATTTGACATGCTGCACTTGGTCGATTTCCTCTGGTCGGAGTGTTAGAAGTGATTGAAGAGGACGATGGGTCGGAAGAAGGCACTGAAAATGCTGAGCTGGATTCTGAAGACAATGAAATTGATAGCCAAGCCGATGAAGAAGCCTTTAGCAATAAATCAAGTGTTGTATCAGATTCAGATTTGGAGGAAGAAGATAAGGAACAAGAAGATGAACCTACCTTCTATTGAAACCGCAAGAGTGCCCACTTGTTGGGTGACACTTATATGAAAAAGTTAAGTAAAGATGTGAGTATTCTTCATTCTCACTTCTTTATTTGTATATCTCTGATTTTCTTTCTTTGTTATGTTGTTCTATTACCAGATGGACACAGTCAACAAAAAGCTCACTCGATCGAGCGCCCACCGTGCCGATTTTAATCGACGACGCGAACGTGAAAATCTTGAACGCAAAAAAGAAAAGTTGCGTCCCTTGAAGGCCCTTCTATCTGGCCATGGGATCCGTTGGGGTATTCGAGCTGAGCGATGGGAGCGTATGTGGGAAGCTAAGGATGTAAGTCATCCTTCATTACGCTCTTCTTGTGAATTGATGTGCTAACTAATTAAATTCATTCTTCAGTTGATTGATGGAGTTATGAGGGAGGACTTACGAGAGGTCCATTTCAAGAAGCGCCGGCCAAGAAAGGATGGCAAGCGGCATGGATACTTTGAAGAAGTCGTGTTTTCAGTTGCAGATTGGCAAGCCCTGAGGGATATGTTAGATATCCTCACCGTAAGTGTTTCAGAATCAAATATTCAAGCTCTATTTCTATGACCTCATACTGACTCTTGACATCTACCTCATAGCCTTTCAAGTTTTAACTCGTGAGATGGAAGGCAATACGCCTACAGGTTGCATGGTTCTGGTAAAGTATGTACAGCTTAAGTCATCCAAGGAGGATCAATTGAAGACGATGCACTTGAATGACCCTCTTTACCCGATGGTCGACATCATGCTTGAGGAGATCAAGCTGTATCTTGACAAAGCACTTGATTGCAATACTTTGGTCCTTGCTGCTGTTTTTCACCCTGGGTTACGTCTGTGATTTTTCTCTCGTGCGTTTGGAGAGGGCTCTCCTGAACATGACCGAGCCGAAGCGTTACTGGAGATAGCATTTAAATCTGAGCGTGACCGCCAAGCAGACTCAATTGACTTTGAACCAGTCAACACATCTTCAGTCCACGGTGATTTGCCTCCCAAGATGTTTGATCCTACTTACCTCGATTTTTATAACGAAGTTTCAACTCAAGATAACCTCAATGAGTTGGATCGATACATTCAAGGAATTGATCCAATGAAATCACCTAACGTCAACAATCCTCAACATGCTCTGGATTGGTGGAGGGTAAGTCCTAGTCATCTGTCTTTTTTTCATTGTCACTAGCCAGAGTTAGCGGCGGGCGCCGCACTGAATCTTTATGATTGTATGTTGCTATAACAGCCTACTGTGTACATTCATAACATGATGTCTCACTTGGCATACTTTGAGATTGCCTCAAAGATGAATCAATTTAGCTCAACAATAATCAGAAAAGGCATGACATGTAATTGTCTATAAGACTCTGATGCTGAATGTAGTTGTCAATAATGGCAGTTGACTTGGACCAGCTGTTGCTCTGGATTCTTGGGGGAAGACAAATAGGGTCCCCTATCAATACAGATCTACAATAATGATGGAATAGACTATGCATGTGAAATTTGATTCTCTGTGCAGCTATAGGGGGAGGTTTTATCCTATGCCATCAGAAAACCATGTATGATATCAAGACCTCAAGGAGTAGCACCTGTTGATACATTCTGAGTCTTGGATTGATCAAAGCACATTGGTGTTCAAACAATGATTTCAGCAGAAAGATAAAGCCTAACACAATCTGAAGTCTTGTCATACTGAAAAAAGTCAAGGTTAGGGACTGATCAAGCCTTTACAGATGACTACTTGATAAGGTGGAAGAGTTGACATGCAACACATATCTGAAAATAATGAATGTGGACCACACCACACTTTTTGTGTTTGGTTGGCATGCACAGATAGCCATACTTTGAAAAAAATGTTACAGTAGCAGTACATATGATTGGATGGATAGCTTCAATGAAACAGTATTTTCACCAGGAATGTAACCTCTGATTTACCATCAATACCAATTTGATCTAAAGTGCTCCTTCAATGAGTTGAACATTTTGAAAACAATCTTAGTTTGAGTTGTAATAAAGATGAAGAAGTTCCAGTATGTGTTAACAGTAAGACTCTCAAGAGAATGGAAATTGGAATCAAATTGACTGCTTGATGGCTTTATGCTGTTACATCTAACATCTTGACCAGAGTTTTTGCTAAAATAAATTGTATTGATCCATTTGATACTGAATTGTGAAGAAATTCCAAAGGAGTCTCCAGCAAAATCATCAAAAATTGCATCCTACTCAAAGCCTCCAATGTTGAGTAACAAAAATCAGGCAAAGCTAGTTCTTCTGACCTGAACTTGATGTCCGCATAGAATTCAGTCAGTGCCCACAACATGTTCCTGAGCATATATTGGCAAATCTGTTGTACATCATCAGGTAGCCTTCAACTTAAAGCCACCCCTTCATCATGATCCTCAATATGTTTCCTTACATCTCCTTGCATCACTCGAAAAAGAACTCTGAACCCCGTTCATAACTAAATTTATCCATGTTGGATTCCTAAATCAATTTATTAAAAAAATCTAGATCATCAAGTTTAGGTAAAATATTGCACATTTTAATTTGAATGATGTATTGAGATCTGTAGATTAAATGGGTATGAGTGCCTTGTACTATTGGATTAACCTCAAAGGTTCAGATTGGCTTGGGAAATCTGAATGGGTTGGGTCTGGTTGGTATCTGTCTGTTACACAAATATCTATTGCTAATAAACTGTTGACTATTGTGACTGATTCACATAATATCTTGGATGTGTGTAGGATTTGAATTCTTTTGTAGAGGTCCTCACAATCCAGTCAGATGGTATCTTGGTCTTGTCCTTTGACATGATTGGAGGTGGTGGGGTGTAAGAAAAGTCCAAGAAAGTCCAAGAACAGAGGAAAAAGCTGGAAGACAGTACTGGGGTGCACCCACCTTTAATTTTGATGCTTGAGTGTGCCTAAAAGGAACATTTTTTGTGCTACACCCACCACATAAATACTGATAAATACCTTGTCAAGCCATAATTTTGGTTTCCACTTTTTTGAGGGGGCTTTAGTTTGAACTTATCTTGTCTAATCTATGTCTTAGACAAAAACACCATCAAAAGAAAGAATTTTGATCTAAAATCAAGACCTCCAAGTTTGTAATATATATAAAATTACAATCAAATTATAATCAGGTTTTCAAACAAATTCAAAAATAAGGCAATATTGAATATCTGTGGTTCATTTTTTTCATTGTGATTAACAGATTTCAATCAACTACTCAAAGATAACCAATCACCATAGTATTGTCTTGTTGTATAGTCCTTCAGTTTCTAATACAAAACCAAAAAAAGTTCCCAAAAAAGAGCAAAACAATCTAAATATCTTCATATCCACCATCCACCACAATACCTTCATGAGTAATTTTAGAAATTAAATCATGCATCATTGGCAGGTAATTCAACAGGGAACTTGATGCAAATCAAGACATTTGATTTGAATTGATTGACAGATATCCCAGAGGCTTTATATGAGACTCCAATGGCTAAATTTGTGTTGTGACCCTATCAAGAAAAGAAAAAAGCGAAAGATGATTTTACCATTTCGATGATCTTCCCAAAGCACCCGAACTTGACTATCCCGATTCCTAATCGTTCAACAATAAACAAACAAACCAAACTTAGCCAAAAAAGCAACACAGACTGTAATAACAGCCGACAAATGATAAATCGGTTTAGATGAATTAGATGGGTTTTGAATTAAACTTTGAATTGATTCGATCACTAAAACTAAAGATCCACATCCCATTACAGTTGAATAAATTATATTTCCAATCGTTTCAAATCGACTTGCACCACTTGGATATTTTCTTAAATCTACTTTAGATGCATATTGATGACTATCATAAAGGGAAAAAAGTCATTGAATTAGTTGTGTATTTAGATCGTTATGGTTTTAAAAAAGAGAAGACTGACGTACGCATAATTTAAAGCCAAGTTGGCTAATGGATCAAAAACAGCATCAAGAGCCGTAGCAAAGAATGATAACGAAAGAGATGAGATAGCAGCATAGAGTTGTAAGATGGCTAAGCAACAATTCACCACAAACGAAGCTCTGATGGCCCATCTAACGTGTTTGGCAGTTGAAGAGTTTTGATCTAAGGCTTCTTGTGCATCTTCTTCTAAACTTTTTAACTTACTGGTCTTTTTGGGGTTTTTTTGCATGGGTTTCGTGATGATTGGGTGTTTGGATTTGGGGGTTCCGATGGGTTAAAGTCATTGGATGTAGATCGTCGGGAAGTGCATGAGGTATTATTCGAATTATCAGACCGAAAGTTGATCGATCAAAGACAAATGTAAAAAGAAGATGATCAACATTTGGATTAAGATATCTTAGATTAGGGGCTCTCAAACCTGACCCGGTTTTCAAAAACCCAGTTGACCCAGTTGACTTTTTGGCAGTAACTTTGTATATAAATTTGAAATTTATTGACAGCTCCCAGCCAAAAAGTCAACTGGGTCAACTGGGTTTTTTGAAACCGGGTCAGGTTTGAGAGCCCCTATTGTACAAGATCAAAAGTGACCAAATTTACTTACGATATGTTCATTTTGAGTTTCATAAAACTCTTCTACACCTTTTGCTTTCCTACCATGTTGTTTACGAAGTTGACTTAAACTTTCAAAAACTTGAACCAAATCAAATGAGCAATCACACTTGAGAATCACAAAAGAAACAAATTAGCTGGAAAATCTCTTGGATTCCAAAGTTTTGGAATTGAAAAAGAATTGAAAAAGCATACCTACCTTTGAAATGAACAGTCGCTGTAAAAGGTGCATAATCTTCGCTATTGAGAGAAATTGCATCTGGATCTGATTTTCCTCTCACAGCCTCAACATCACCAGCGGGACCTAAATCTTTGGCAATCACTACTAAGTTGGAAACTTCTGGACCAAAATAACATTAGGACCTATGCTTGAAACGATAAAACAAACTAAATACATACTGCCATCTATTGTAGGTGTCAATGTATTAGCCTTTGTAGGATCAGACGTGGTCACAGGAACCGATGACAAAGGTGTCCCCACAGGAGCATTGGATGAGGTGTGGTCTACCACTTGAGATTCCTACAACTGTTTGATCCAATGACTGTACTTGTCCAAGTACTGGGTGAGCTCCCGAGAAGCCATATGTAGTGCTGAAATCTGTAGCAGTGTTTGGCAAAGGTCCACTGGTGAGCGTGTCCAGTGACTGAAATTGTGGTGTGGTGGTCTTAAGAGTGACTGACAGACTCAAGTTTGGGTACATATCAGTCCCAATACGTGGATAGATGGCGTTTGTGAAAGGTGACACATACCGCTAGATGATGACTTTTGCACTTGTTTGTCTTCATCTTTATTATCGTCACCAGAGGCAGGTTGTTGGGTCGGTTTTTTCTCATTTTATTTGATGAATTGGTTCGATTAGGATGTCTAACTGAAGTCATTTCACATTCATCTCTGTATTGTTATTCTTATCATCGATGTTGATGTGAATGTTGCGATGATGAAATAAAATGACTGTTAGGTCTTACTGGCAAATATGATTGTTCTTGATATGATCGTTCTTGAAGTTCATTAGGTAGAAAATAAATGCGGAAGATTCCGAATCGATGAACCAAAGTCAGTCACTGGAACATCACATAGGGTCACAAAAAAAAGGTGAAGTTTGAAGCTTACAAAAATAAACAAGCCGGTGATATTCTCAATTGTGTCGTCTGATGTGGTCTCAATGTTTTTCGGAACAATTTAAAAGAGGTCAGTGATTTAATCAAATTTGTTTTGATCATTCCTAGATAGACTTACTTACAATCTCTGTTGATGTGACATTGATTTGGGTGGAATACAATTGCAAGATTGGCAAATGGTTTTGGTGATTCGATTCGGAATCAATACTCATTGTCCATAAGCTATTTTATTATCAACTTTTAAATGCTTTGATGATATGCATTACTTTCAATCATCTTCACTGTTTTTTGAAGTCAGTTCTGGATCTGATTTAAATTTTGTAATTCGTTCAGGTTTGTTTGATTGATAGATGGATTTAATTTTGAATTGAAATTTTTGGTTTCTAATAAAAAGTATTTAGATGGAGAGAAAAGTCTAGCAGAGATGGGTGTAGCTGAATGAGATCGAGTGAGGGCTTACAATGTGGGGTTTAGCGGTGAGGTCAAGTTGATGGTAAAAGACTGGAGCTCAGGAGATGTAAAAAGATGACTTGTGTGAACCAATCAATAGATAGATTGCACGAATCATGTGGAAGTGCTATGAAATTGGAAAATGATTGTCGCAAAGTTGTATGTAACTTTGGCTGGGCAAAACTCAGAGTTGTGGGGGGAAAAGTGCAGGTTTTGGGAGGTTTTATCTGAATTCCATGTTTGCCTTGGATTTAATTCCTATTTAATATATATGATTCCTATTTAATATATATGGATGATGATAGTAATATAGCAATTAATGAGATCCTTGGGTATAAGCCTAGGAGAAGGTAGTCGCACGTACGTTAGGGAAGTTATCGAGTTTGAAGCACAGCAAATGTGAAATAGTAGGGAGAAGCGGGATATTGCTAAGAATCAAGCAAGTTGGATTATATGAAAATTGTTTTAAGAGAGGGATTGGTTCCGTGGAAAAGCCGCTTGGAAGGCACCCTGTCAAAAACCTGTTGGGCAAATGTTGGGTAAATCATAGACGAGACGTGATGGATTGAAAGACAAAACGGATGAGGGTTGGAAGCTGTTGGAAGTAATGAAACTTCGCGGTATTACAGTAATAGTAAGTTGAGTGAAAATCTGTATGCAGTATTAATCAGTCAATTAGGTGGCACACGTGAAAGTGACACTGTGAATTGTAAAAGGTGAGGAGATTATAGACAAAGTGATGGATTGAATGGCTGATAGAGTCATAAGATGCGGTAATTCTGGGATATCATGATGTCATTTTAAGAGGGTGTAGGTGCGGATAAACAAATTCATGGTTGACCTTTAACTTGTAATGATTTATGATCATCCCCTTACTGATGATGCTTGCCTCACAGTCTCATCATGGCAAATATCCTGTACTGTCTGTCTTAGCTCGTGACTACCTCGCCACTCCAGCGGCTTCATCTCCCCCGGAGAGATCTTTCTCAATTGCAGGCCGGATTTGCACTGATGAGCGAGGTGGATTAAAGCCTCGAATGACCGAGATTTTGGTCTGTAGTAATTTATGGATGGGAGAAGGGGTACCTCTTACTGGTGATTTTGCAGAGGTTGGAAAGGTGATTGAGTTTGCCAAGAAGGCAATAATGAAAAAACCCAGAAAGACTTATGTTTCAACTTGATTTTGTTTTTTATTTTCTCTATCGTTTACAATTTTATCTTATAACCTTTTCATTACAATCATTTACAACTTTACTTTACTTCTTCTCTACACTCCTTCAAACCACAAGTTGTTTTTACATTTTTTTTCTTTTTTGACACAAAAATTGTTTTTAGGGTCAGTAACGCTGGTAGCGCTGCGAATAAGAATTACGCTATGAGCTACTTTTTTTTGGCACCCAAACTTGCTAACTACCGCTAACACTACTGAGCTTAGCGGGTTTTTCTACACGCCACGCCAGTGCTTTCCTGGCTAGTAGCGCTGGGTAGCGCGGCGAGCCGGACTTGGTTTGGCTGAGCAGTAGAAATATATCTACCACCAGACCGAGTGCTAAACTCGACCATCGATGGCTAGGACCGTTCAGTATCATAAAGAAAATTTCAACGTCAGCTTACAAATTGGCCTTACCCGCAAGCATGAGTAAAGTCATCCTGTTTTTCATGTATCAGTCCTAAGGAAACACTCACCAGATGAAATGGAAGAAAGAGTTCAGGTACCGCCGCCAGTAATAGAGATCGACGGTGAGGAGGAGTGGGAAGTGGCGGAAATTCTTGACAAACGTCGTCGTAAAGGGAATGATGAGTACCTAATTTCGTGGAAAGGTTTCAACAAGTCGGAGGATTCGTGGGAACCGGCGGTTAACGTTCAGAATGCCCAACAAATGATCGACGATTTTGATCTAAGGTTTCCACATGCATCCGAAGATCACAGAAGAAAACGAAGGATACGGGGGTAAGCGAGAGGGGCCGATGCTTTTTCCCACCGGGTTTTTTAATGCCAGGCCCCGGGGGGAACCGACCGGTTGCGAAGAGGGAACCGGGGCGTAGAGGGGGAATAGTGGTATGATCCATGACACACGACCCGGGTATGTCACAGACCCGTGACAGGTGCCAGACCAGAGCCGCACTTGTACCCAGACCTCACACTATAGTTGCCTCTTCTTCATGCTACAATAACTATAACACCTAGATCTGGCATCAGTCTCTCACCCTCTATCCCCAAGTCGTGACCCCTTGCCCGGTCATAACATGTTCATAGAGACTAATGGAACCTAAATTATCACCTATACAAATTTGAGCAGAAGGGGAGCTCTAGGTGCAGATGCAAAGAGGGAGTCAATAATGTCAACCCTTTTCCCTGCACATGCTCCAAATTTGACAAAGAAATTAAACCTTGAAAATCAATCAAGCTGCTCAACTTATCACCACTCTAAAAGACATGAAAAATAGATGAAATATCCAACAGCAACCCCTGCCCTGACACAGCCAGAGGGGTTTTACTTATTGAGATAATCAAACACTCTTTCTTATTCAGATTCTTATGATCTCATCCTTAATGTTCATTTCCTCTTTGTGTGTCTTCATTTCATTATTCCACGAATGGTATTTGATTCCTTCTTTAATGTATCTTATTTTACCTTGGTTTCACGAGTTTCCCTTACTATAAGAATGTTTGCTCGTCTCATGTAAGAGTCCTTTTTTCTCATTCATTATTATCTGTGTCTCTTTTACCAATAGGCACTCAGCTTTTCCTTCAACACTTGTGTTATCTGTCTGCCTACTGAGAACTCATTGTGTTCTATCAAAGCTTATACTGCTATATTACTAGGGCTCAAACAGACATGCAATGTTTGATAACCAAAAGGCTCAAATCACACTAAGAAACAAAAGTGGGGTGAAAGAAGCCAAAAAGAGTATCCTATATGAGCCTTGTGGAGACCAGATCAAGGGATCAAAGAATCTGGTGAAGAATCTGTGAATTTGAGTATTTCCAAACCATCATCTCATTCCACATCTCATAGCTTTAAAAACCATTTGAAACAGGGTAAAAGAGAGACACCATGAGCTTTTGTTGATCAAGTTGTAGAGATCAACCCATATATGGCTGGCAAAAAGGGGTGGCAGGAAATGCTTTTTAAATCAAAACAAGAACCTTGATAACATTGATAAGAAAAGCACCATATAAGATTCTGAAGGTTGAAAAGGACTTCTGTAAGGAGTTCATATTCTCAAGCTTTTATATGTGGTGATTGATTGTGCTGATAAGGAAAGGATAACAACTTGGGAGCCGAAAAAAAGAAAGGGTGAGAGGCTGGCTTGGCTAATCCCTTGGGGCGTCTGTTGTGAGGGGCATCATGATGTGATTGGAGAGATTCCACACCATCCACAATTCCTTTGTTCGAACCTTTAGTCTACATCTAGTCTATGGCAACATATGGTGCCGCCTTTGACATAATAAATTTTACACTGTGGAGCCAGCAAGAGCCATCCTTTCTCCGCCAAATATATGCCTCAGCCTCATCCCAACGAATTTTTTGATCATGAGAACGCTGAGCAGCAGATTTCCATACTAATTTATAGCCTTCTCCCTCTTTTACCTTTCCACTCACGTTTACTGTGGCAAGATGGGATAAAAATGAACAAATCTTTGATAAGTCTTAAGATATGACTTCATAATTGATTGGTGGCTTACTTGCAAACTCCGCATCTTTTAATTTCTTGAACAGACCTTGTCTGAAGAACTGAAGAAAAGCTGGTGTTCAAGATACATGATTATTAATTGACATGGAACTTTCAAGGCATGATTGAGAAGTATCTGTCTTGCTTCATCATGGGAAGTAATGAGGATGTCAAGTCCTTCCTTTTTGAAACTCACTACTCACCTGTGGTGGTTTGAATTTTACCATTGACATAAATTTCTGGGTCATGTGGCCCAAGAAAGTGTGCAAGCTCATGCTCTGAATTCACTGAATCAGGGGATTTGGTGACGAGGTCTATAAAATCATATCCAAGACCCTTCACATCCAAATCTGTTAACCTGAGAGGTAAGTGTATGATACAGAGTCATAGAGTATGCATCAGAACTCACCTGTTACCATATCTGGAAATAACAACATACACATTTGCAAAAAGAAGGTGGTCAGCGTTTTTCAGGAAGCTCAATGATCATACCAATATGACCTGGAGTGCACACTAATGGTGATGAGATGTGAAAAAACTTGAAGTGCACAACAGGACTTACCTTCAGTCAATATAAATTCAAAACTTTCTGGTAGCTCTGACAACACAAAGGTCATCATTGGTGAATAGAGGAGGATGACCAAAAGTAATTTCTTAAACATCTCGACTATACAGGGCATGATGAGAGTGAATGAATGAATGATCCAAAGCTGGGATGTAGACTACTTCTAAGAAAACAAATTGTTGAGAAGCAATGAAGATCAGTTGCTTTCTGTCAAATATGAGGGTCTTTTATATTGGAATTATTCATCTGCGAGTCATTTATTGACTCTCTGATACACGTTTTGTACTTCAGATGAAGCTGTGAATCACGAGCTTATCAAAATCTACCTGCGTGTGCAGCCAATTTGAGAGAATTGATAGTTCTTTTAAAAATTCCGTCGCCGGGAAAAACCATTGAATGAATCTCTGAATCAGTTGTCTCTTGTGTCTGAGCAATCTTACTGCCAGTGAGAAAAAGAGTCAACTGTTGTAGAGAGGTTTGTTACCTAGTGTTGTCCGTTTTGTGGCAGTGTTTTTTTTAAAAAAAAGTCAACAATCTGCATCAAAGCGCCCGTAAATCTTTGCCAATGATTTTTCCAACAAATCGCCACCGTTCCGATCAGCTGAGACTGATTGGCCCGCAAAAAGTCTACCATGATACTGATCGCATCCTACGATTTTCGCCGGGGTTTGTTCCCTGTGGCGGCATTTTTTTCAATGAATGAATAGATAAGCGTTGATTAGAAAAGCTATAAATATTTCTTGAACGTTTTCGATGTTCGCTGTCGAAGGGTAGCATGCCGCAGTCATCTCTACGCAATTTTTCACTGTGAATCATGCTTTGTCAAACTCCATCTGAGGCGTGGGCAGACAATTTGACAGAGCGCTTTTAGAAATTTTCCCGCCGCCCTTGAATCAATCTTTGAATTGAATTGTTTCTCATGCAAATCTTACTACCAGTGAGAAACAGAGCCAAGTCCTGTACCGGGGTTTGCTACCTGGTTTTGTCTCTTTCGCAGCGGTGTTTTCTCTCGAAAAATTCAACCATATGTTTTGCATCGCGTGTAAATGCTCACCATGAGTTTTTTCGGACAAAGCGCCTCCGATCCGATCCGCTGGGCCTGATTGCTCACCAAGCAGATTAGAATGATACTGGTTGCATCTCAAGTATCTTTCGCTGGGGTTATCGACTGCGAAGGCTTCTTATCAAATAAATCAACATCATCCAAGGGATTTCCTTCGCATGCCCCAGTCCCCTCCACGCAGATGTTAATGAATAAGAGTTTCTTTTGGAAGAATCTCCGCTCCTACGACCCACTGGGACTTATTGACTCGCAAAAAGTCTATATGATGCTGATCACGTCTCGCATTTGTTATCGGGTAAGGTCGACTGATGCGGCCATCAAGGTTGAAATCACTTCACTATGCACAGCTATATGACAGGTCCTCAGTAGTGGTGTGGTGTACCACTATTTTGAAGAACCAATACACACCACTATCTGCAGAAACCCACTATGGATCATATGTAGTGGTGTGTGTTAGTCACTAACACTCACTGTGATATTGTATCACTAGCACTATAATAGTGCACATGTTTTTTGAATGTGAAAAAAGAAATTTATCAAAAGGCGTGTAGTGCACTACCTAGAAAATATGCACAAAGAACTATTCATCTTGGTTTATGGATTACTTGAGCCGGTCAGGAAAAAGCAGAGAGATTGAAAATGAACCAAGTTTTAAAGAGAGTTGGGAAGCAAGGGGAAAGGAGTGAGATGAGAAAATAATAAGATAAGATAGCCAAGATTTGTATTAAAGAAATCTGTGAACCTGAAGAATAAGATAAGTTGAATGAGGAACAAGTGCATAGGGAGATAACAAACAAAAAAGATGCAGAAATATTGACAATTAAGGATTACTTCATTTTTTGCATATACACATCCAACACAAGGCCTCAGAAAACTCTCAGGAAACATTGAAACCGGCCTTTATCCATTCACAAAATGAATTAAGTTGTTCAATGGTTGCCCTTTACAATGCCACTAGCCAAATTGGGCGGCGGGCGCCGCAGTCATAATAAGGGCTCATCAAAAATCCATTTGCAATCCATTCTCTTGTAGGTCAATAGTTAGCAGGTCAACCACCCCTAGCTCTGCCCTGGCCAACAAGCAAGGCTGAGGCACAAGAAATTCTGAGGCAAATTCTCAAGTTCAAGGTCTGAAATGTATGTGTCAAAGTTCTCCTCTTTCTCTCCTGTAACACATCATGGGGAAATGTGTGTCCCATACCTTGTTACCCATCCTACTACTCATGGACCACAGCACATGTTTTTGCCTTTGTGGGCCCTTCCAAAGAATGTGGAGGCTAGACTGGATCAAACATCACCTACACAGGCCAGCTTTGTTAGGGGCAATTAATTGGATGACAACATAGCAGACTCCATTTCATAGCCCAAAGGAGATCACTTTATATATCTTGAGTAACACATTGCTAGCCTAAGTAAAACTACACAGTCAAGGTGACCAAATGAAAATCAAGGCAATCTGAGAGAGGGAAATTAAATTATTGCCCCTGGCATCAAGAAACAGGAAGGGGACAGGGTGGCACCACAACCATAGATGCCTTGCATTGAAATACGATAAAAACCCTTGAACAGATCTTGTCCAAGGATTTGATCCAAGTTATTTTTTGGCACAAAAAATACCATGGATCAGAACGTTGGAAAGACTCTGTCCAAGGATTTTTGTCCGGTGATCCCTCAAATTTTTCAATCCAAGGCATTTGTGTTGGCTGTGTGGGGTGGGGTATGGATATTGCACGGCCTATGAGTTCCAAATATGGTGGAAACAATTATTGGGATTAGCATTGGTAATTTTCAACAGAGGTGATGACACATACACTCAGAGTGGAGTGGCAATATTCTTGTCCTAAGCCTAATCCCTAACCCCTGGTGGTTTCATTATCAGAGTATCTCTAGTTTTGTTTTGTCTTGGTGTTTTAGATACCTCATTAGTTGCTCTAGAATGATAGCACCACATAGGTTCTTAATTGAAACAGGTGTGCATAAATACTGTGATCTCCTTTGTGTCCGATTATAGCAGTAGTGATGAAATGACACTCATGCACAAAGGACAACTATCACAACACACCAACAGTGAGGCTTATAAATAAAGTATAATTGTGGTTCCTCAGGCTATGTAGATCAATGCAGCAGAGTCCTCACTGGTGATAAACTAAGTCTTTGAAATGAAATCGACAGATCCCTCTGTCTTACTCACCTCAGGTAATCATTGTATTTCCTTTTTTGGCATCTGTCTGTTGTTTCAATTTCAATCATTCATCTCAAAACTGATGATCTTGATTAATCTGACATATGAAGTCATAAATTGCATATATGTATCTCAAGCATGTATCTTGAATTGATCTGAATTGGGTCATCTACTTTGTCAAACTCATCCATCAGAAGACAGTTGTTCATCCAGAAATCATGTCCTTGTCATCTAAATCAATCATAGCTTGTGATACCAACATTTGACACAATCAAAGATAGATCAAAAACTAATAGTTGCACAGATCTTTTTGGACCCCACTATTTAGCGCCCCTTTGGCAAATACCCGGAGCCCTCTTATTTTGGGGCATTACCCGAGTTACCCGACACAACCCGAGCGCACCCAGCCAAAATTTTGGTGAGTCGGACCTCAGGGGCTCCTTACGTGGGCATCTTCCCACAACGCAGCCCCTCTTTAACCTTTTTTGAGCCACATTTTGACCAATAGGGCGATAGAAGCTTTGTTGCCTCATTGGAAACAACTAAAAGGGCTGCTGATTATTTGTAAGCCCGGCCCGGCCCGTAGACCTGTCGGGTTCCATGCTAATGGTCCCCTCTCTCTCCTCTGTTCCTTTGTCCTTCTCCATTTCAAACTTTCCATCACCTACCGATACATTCCAATACATTTCCACAGCTCACCTCACAATTCCTACACCCATCTTCATGAATCATCACACCTCCATCATCACACAATCAGGCACAAACAAAACCAACTCGCGCGAGAAAGAGACCAGTGTCAAGAGGTCACTGATGTCGACAAAGAAGACAATGCAGAAGAAATTCAAAAAAAAGGTTTCAACTCGCTTAGAAAGAGGTTATTGACATCAACTCTATTCTTAGATCTTTCCTTTCATTGATTTAAGCGACAAGGACCAACCACATGATTATAATCAATCGATTTGGATCATCTTTGCTTTGAACTTCAAACATGGATCATCCTACAACCAGACATCAAGATACTTATACTCTCTTGGACGGAAAACCTTTTATCATTTGTCATAAGTTGCTTGATCAAATTCTCAATTCAATATCTTTACATACATCCTTGTCAAAAACAGATCACCTTTCAACTTCAAATATTTCACCTACATTTCCTCATAATTGTCAAGATGCGATGTCTCCAGAATGTTATTCATATTTGATTCTGCCAAAAAGATGTTTTCCTTTTCTTTCTTCACAACAAAATTGACTACACATATGATTTATAGACTCTAACAATACATACTGTGCTCCCTTTCATAAAGAAACGAAGAATGTATCCATTGTTTTGATTTGTGTTGCAACAGAACAAAAAATGTAAGAGTTAGGCTCTGTTTTGGTACAAATTGGCTCATTTGGCTTACAAAACCATATTGACTCATGACTACTGCAAAAACCAATTGAAAATGCATATACACATATAAAAAGAGTAAACAAGAATCATTAAAAGGGTAACCGAGGATGATTACAAGCGAATGTCGTTGGAATAAGCAGAGTCGCCCCTTTTCTAAAAAGGGGGCTGCTTTATGTTCGCAGCCCGGTGTCCGGTCCAAGAAGGGGCTCCGGATACCAATCCGAGGGCGCTAAATAGTGGGATCCATCTTTTTAACCTTGACTCTTTTGACTTGAGTGTGGTTGTTTAGATCTCCTGATTTCTAGTTTCCTGACTATAAACATTTTATAATCCGCAATGATACGGAGATTCAATTTTGTGCTTTAGAACTTGAAGCTTTGATCACAAGTGGTCAATTGATGCAGCAGATAGCTCATTCAGAAATTCTATCATATAAACTTAAAGATAGGGAAAGTATGCAAAGCATGATACTGAGAAAGATGCATTTGTAGCAAATGGTTTCTAGTGAGGTGATTGGAATTTTACTACAGTATGTTGACTGCATATAGGTACAGCAAGTGCTTTCATTAATACCACAGTGTATTGGCTACTTAAATAAAGGAAGTCAACAATGTTTGAATATGAAATTGAATCAATTGCAAAATATGTCAAAATGATTGGAGGTTTGAAAATGATCAAAAATAGGCTATCATGTTATTGTTATCATTATTGTGGATGATAATGATACAAACTCAATGATTACTTGGCAAGAAACAATATAACAGATTGCAATTCAAGGATGAATTGTAACATGATTGTGTTGAATTGAGGGGAAAACCCCTGTTGCTCAACTTGAATTTTGTTGCACAATCTTTACATCAGTTGATAGTGCTGAAAGCTTGATGTTACATAATTTCAGTTGTTTCTCATTTTAGAAATCAAATGGAATTTGGTGTTATTGACTCACTGCAAAATCTGAAGAAAGGATAAATGAGAGGATTGATTATAGTGTACTTTCCAATGGTTTACATTTTTCAAGATCGAAGTGATTTAACTGCAGGGTGATTGGAGTCATAAAACTTAATGTATGCAAGATCTTATCCTTACTTGTGTGCTAGAATTTGATGAGGAAGAATGACGCTGTAGAAAAGAAGAAGTTCAATAAAGATATTCAAAATGGTGTCAAAATTCCAAAATCAATGAAACTTACATGATATTGTTGCTCAAGAATGATTGCAATATCATTTGCGGCGTATGAAGGAATATGAAGAATACCATCATGAAGGTAAGGTAACCTATTTTAACTTGACCAACTTGCTCTCTGCCTTCTAACTTGAAAATACAATCATGCAGAAGATATGTCCAGACCTTTCAAAGTTGAAAATCAGAGTCAGTCTCCAACAGACCAATGATAGTGTAACATTTACCACCTAATTGTCACACACCTCATCACACAGCCAATAAGTTGATATGTGCCCCTTAATTCCGCACTTCGATCCGATCTGGATCAATCAGACTTTAGATGCCAACTTAGAGAACTATATCAACATGAAGAATCAACAAAATGGATAAAGAATGGGGAAGAATCTTGCAGAGGTGGGTCAGTCTAACCTGCTTCAAGACCGTCAAAGACAATTGTGATCCAACCCGGACTAAGAACGCTAATATTGAGTACCTTCGGATCTTTCTCCTTGGTACCCAATCCATTTGATAAAGCGTAAAGCTAAGCTGCTTCATTGCCACCCAAGATCTCATTCTTTGAGTCGTATCCTGAATCTTCCGATGTGTTCAATGCGCCCCTGTGAATCGGCCAACGAATTGTGTAAACATGCTTGTTGGGGTTGGCGATCAACAGCGCGTCTTTACCTGTATATATATATGTGACTTCATAACCAGTCAATGGTGGCCAGGTTGTACCGAGAGCATCCTAGTCCTTGACTATAACGGGAACAATGTCGGCATAGTAATTCGCGGCAATCCCTTGACCGTTAGTGATTCCACGGAGTTGCATTTGATGCACACACTCCAAAACTTGGCCCAAATAGACCCAATCCAAAAATCCAATCGATCTTGATGCACTCGGAATGGTGTCATGATGACATTGGTGGCTGTATGTCCCATGTCGCCATATAGCCTCATCTGTTGACCATTAGGACCTTTGGCATGTCGGAAAGAATGGATTCAACTTGTGTATCTTTGGGCATCCTGGTTGTGACTTGGGTCTACATAAGCTTCCCTGAGATCGACGGTCAAACTACTTCAGAAAAGTTCAAAAAAATGATAATTTGACATACCAAAGCAAAAAAGAGAACGAGTTTACTACAAAAAAACTCGCATTGGTGTAGTCACTGTAGTCACTACTAAGACACTACTTTGCACTTGTGTCAAGTGATAACTCATCTATAAAATTTGATTCATAACCGCCAAAAAAACTAAAGTCAATCAATTATGTAGAATGATTTGTTATAATTTGGTTTAGAGATGAAGAAAGAAAGAAACCTCTACCTTTCACCTTGATTTACCAACAATAACAAAACAAACTGCCCCTGAAACAAAATAAACTAAGAATTCAATTCGACAGATCTCATGAATCTGATTTGAGATAAAAGATGCTTACGGTATTGCAGTTATACGCCAATTGAGAGTCTTCCACATGAATCAAAATAAGAGATCGAAGCCGGTATTGAATCAGTTGTTAAACCTTCAACCCATAGAACTAAATGGGACCATGAAAGATATCAGACAAAGGTATTTTTAAGAATCAATTGTTCCTCAAGAAAATTAAGAAATCAACTGTATTCAAGGTTTCTACAGACGATGTTGGGTGAAGATTTGGTCGCTAATGATCGCCGACAAACCACGACATTTGAAACAGATATTGGTGAGTGATCGGATGCTCGGCCGATGGGCAACATTCGGGAGCCAGGATGAATGACAATGGTACGTTAGGCAGGATTGGTTGGTAAGTTTTGAGACGGAGAAAGAGGATGACCAGGTGGTTGAAGGCTACTCGAACCGTGGATAGGACCCGTAGGATCTCGTGCAGTCGAAAACTTCAAGACGAGGAAGAGCAGGAGAGTGAGCCAAAAGTGTGTTATCGTCACCTCCGAGCATCACTGTCTTCTTGCAATTCCGCTGACTTTCCCAAGTGGCTTCATCGGCTCTCCAAGTCTACGAGGTTTGATGCTCTGCTTTGGCGAATGATGATGCGACTATGTATTCCGATCAGTTCGGAGTGAGCTGGAAGGTTTATGTCATGTAATGAGAAAACGGGTGCTCCTTCTTTAAAGATGGAATGTATCAGACATTTCTAATTGAAAAGTACAATTTCATTCAAGAAACTGACCTTTTCAAGAAATTGTTAGCATTAGTAGCAATAACCAGTCCAGGACTCGTTCCATCTTCTGACCCATAGGTAAATTCATCTTAAAAGCATAAAACCAAGCCAAAATTCTCCAGAGATACCAGTGGATACAACATATTGAAATCGATTATCAGGTTTCAAATGTCTTCGAAGTTCAAAATAAGATGAAAATAATATCCAATTGATAGAATTGATAGCTCCTAATTGGTAGGCTTGTTGGACTGCTTCACTGAATGAAGTTTTGACGATGTCCTTTGGAATGCAAAGTTCAAATCTTCTAGTCAGAATCTTTTAGTAAGAAAGATCGGTTTTGATGATCAACTCAACTGACAATCTTCCAATGTACCCTCAACAGCCAAGTTAAAGACATTAGGGTCTAAGACAGTAGTCATTTGAGCTTCTTGAATCGGACTAACTCTACCTTTAGGATGTAAAATGAAGATTGAAACATCCTTTTTACCTCTAATACTACAAATAGCAGCACTACCAGTATCACCACTTGTAGCACCCACAACAGTGATTCTCTGTTTATGTTCTCGTCTAGAGTTCTTTCGTGCCAAGAAAAATTCAATTAAGTTTCTCAAGAATTTGATGCAACATGTCTGAATGCAAAAGTAAGACCATGCCAAAATTTGAGCGCGGATGTAGTAGAATCGAGAGTTCTGATAGGTGCGATAGACGTTTGTGAAAAGGTTGAATGAGATTGATTGATAGTCTAGCAGAGTTTGGTATAGTTAGATGAGATCGAGACCATTCTTTTTATTTGATTGTGATCATTGTTATCAATGATGTTAACTCGTTTTGAATCAAGGGTTTTTCTAAATTGATGGACGGGTAGGATGCAAAAATTGTCAGAAGAAAACCATACACAGTTGAGAAATGGATATCTTTTCAGTTAAAGAGTATCGTACCTTTTGCACTAACTTAACTAAGTCCATCTGCTCATTTTGCGGCGCGAGCTTGCGAGCAGAGGGACTTAGGCCTAATGTCCGGTTCCTTGGTGAGGAGCACATCCACCTCTTGGTGGGGGAAATTGGTCCCAATGGAAAACTTTTTTCCCTATTTACGAATTTTCCTAAACTTTTGACACGTTATAGGCTGTCATCTTGCACACCTGACTGCATCCTCAGATTATCTCATTTCAAGATCAGTCAAAAATTTCATAAGACGTCAAAATGGGATGTTTTGAGATTTTGGGAAAGCTGTATTGCTGCGAGTTACAGTGTGTATTCATTGTATGTAAGTGGATACCACAACTTCAAAAGAGTGTTACAGAATGAAATTGTGCGCTTGCAAACAGAAAAAATTAAGGTCAATCTGTTAGTGATCAACAAAACTTCAGCAAAGCTTTCATTAATCCTACTTACCTCATGAATCACCTGGATCCAATGTTATTCCAGACTGGAGCTGATCCCATTTGCCAGGCTGACAGAGAAGACAAGCTACCTCGTGCAATCCAGATCTGCAACTTGATCCAAGAGCTGAACATGACTCCAAAAAGTTTCATGCAGAACATGATTGAATCTGATGATGATGAAATCATCATCCGCCGACAATACTGGGGCACCGAAACTGGCTGGAATTCGACTGAAAAGCTTGTACTTGGTTTTAAGGGATTGATCTTGGGAAGCCAAGGTGGTTCTGCGAGATGGGAGCAGTTCATTTTGAATGAAGTAAGTAGAATTATTGCTGGATCACATAGGAAGGTCTTGTTTAATGATGTTTTGTTGTCCTTCCAGGCCAAGGAAATTGTCAAACGAGAGGACTTACCCAAAGGAAATGCACCAACAGGTGCTTTCTACAGTTCTGACTCGGTGGGGCCTGATTTTTTTAATGAAGAGGCCGAACTCGAAAGATACAGCCTGATCCGGCAAAGAATGCCATTCCTTCACGGCCTCATACACTCAAAAATTGAGATGTGGAACCTCAAGCGAGCCGATGCGCGACTCCAGCGGAAGCAGGCAAATTCAGGTGCGCTCGATGAATCAATGGAAGTTCAAAGCAATGAAGACGATATTGACGATGATCAGAGCGCGGTGGAGGCTCTGGAAGGCATCTCTCACTCAGTCGAGCTTGAACCAGACCTGCTTGATGGGCAGAGGCTTGAGCAAGTGAGCTTCATCATTTGCAGGCGACTGCTGTGTTTTTTTAGATTGTCCTCGCGCTCATGAAGTACTTTTCTTTGCATTATACTTTTGCTCAGATACCTGTGATTGTATTAGCTATGATCGCTTTTGCATGCAATAGAAGATTTAATGGTGTACAGCTACAAAACTCTCTGGCTTTTGTCGCCTGCGG